TATCACTCCTGTGTCACTCCTGTGTCACTCCTGTGTCACTCCTGTGCTGCGGTGAGATGAGCAGCACTGCTTATGTCGCCATTGTAGGGGTAAGGGCTCGGTGTCCATGGAAACCAGTTAATGATGACTTGTACTAAAACCCAGAATGGGATGGACAAGTTTGAAATCACCTGGTAACCATCTGAGTTGCTGTTAATGTTTCCGGTATAGTGAATATGTGCACAAATAAAAGCAAGAGTTTATAGTGCTCCTGTGTGTCAGTGTTTTCTATGTTAAAGTGTGTGTGTGTGTGTGTGTGTGTGTGTTTGTGCCTCTCCATGCTGGCCATGGATGGCGGTACGGGGTCAATTCGCTCCGACCTCCCTGCCATCTCCGCTGACACGGCACTCCACTGCCCACCCCTGTCACTCAGCCCGACAAGTCAACAATGAGAGAAATTCCCCCAGTTTGTTTACTTAAGGACATGGCTACCCTGCCCCTCCCCCCTTGCCTGCCCCCAGCTTCACCAGCAGACCTGGAAAGCCCCCCCAATCTCACCATACAGACCTGTTCATGCGGCGTGAGCCCGGGATTTCTGCACTGCAGGGTATGGGTACAGATAGTGTCCCTATTATCCCCACCTCTCCTAAAGGACTGGCAGCGAGTCCCTCTTTATTGAGAGCCTCCAGTGACCTGGTTCTGAGAAGCACATCTGGAAATGCATGCAGTCACAGCTGGACTGCAATGTCCGAATGCTGAAAGCAGAGATCGGTGCTTTACGGTGAGCCCAGATAAATAAAGACATCTCTCTTCTCAAACTTCCTCAGCCAGAGCAGAATAGCTAGGGGCTGGCCCCGCCCACCGTGTGTGGGGGCGTACACTCGGATACGGATGGAGAGCTGGCACATGCTTTGACGTGCAGCTCTTGCGACCAGGTTGCTTGTTTCGGACATCTTTAACATAATCAAACTCGCGTGTGACTGTTTGCTACATAAAGCAAATCAGATATATTTTCCATTAATTCCTTAACCGCTCTGCTGCCCTGTGGCCCACATCCCCATACAGACCTTCACCTGGCCTGTAACCTGTTTCCTATGCTGCAGGAAGCAGGCACTGCTTGCTCTAGGCCATACGGCGTTGTTTATGTTTGTACCAGTTCTACCGGCTCGTGAAGCTGCTTGATGAGTATCAGCCTTGGCTGTTTTCTCTGTCTTCACGTCTCCCTGCCTTCCTCTAAGAGCTTCTGGAGTCTGACATGTAATTAATAGTGATTTTAATCTCCAGACATGAATAACAAAATGATAACAGTAATCGCCCTGCCCTTTAATCATCTTGATGTGTGCGAGCACGGGAACATCGTTGCCCTCCGTCGTAATAAATTTGCGAGATGTTATCTGTGCCATCTGCATGCCGCGGACAGCGGGGCGGTAAGACTGGGCACGGACAGCCAGTGAATCACCGCAGTGCCCTAACAAACACCTGCATCTGTTCCTGCAGAGATCCTTTGTCAGCACTGGTGATCCCTGCTGGACTCCAAACCACAGCAGGTCTGGGAGAGATCAGTGAATCAGAGACTTGCTCCCTCACCCAACACTTACGCAGACTTCACACACTGACGGTCTGCGCCTGGATGCGTGTTGTTCTCCCTGCTGACACGGCCGTCTTTGTTTACCTGAACAGCTCGCCTCAGTGTTCACTGCTTGGCTCTCTCACAATATCTTTCTTTTTCCACTTTATCTTTTTGCAAACAAAGGTAAACAGGTGAACGTGACCGTGGTTAGATTATCTGCTGGCTGTAATACAGGTTGGGGGGGAGGGGGGGGCTCGCCCGCAGTTTCTGTTTCTATCCAGCCGCACTAACTTACTGTGGCTTAAAGAGACTTGATTTAACAGTTAATGTCATGTGCTTCCCTCCCGCTGCAGGCCGTGGCTGACGGGGTGTCGCTGACAGAGTCCTCGGACTTCAGTTGCCTGTCTTGTTGTGTTCCATGCTCAGTTCTCTGCCCCCCCCCACACCCACATTGGCCCGGCCTATCCTTCCACACCACTCCTGCAACCGCTCTACTCACACCCAGGCCATTCTCCCCCAAAAGGCCGCCCCCTGGAGGATGGGCATCTCACATTTTCTGGATACCTGGGCCACCCCCCCCTTGTGTGTTGGAAAAAAAACGGGGTCTGATCAGGTCCATGTATCAAGTTTTAATTTCTCGTCCTGATATGAAGCAGCTTTAGGCAAGTGTGGGAAGACGAGGAAAGTGCTTTAACAACTTTGTATGACTTTTTCGTCCAAAATGCACCCTCTCCCCCCCACAGGGGATACCCATGCTACCTCAGGGGGGTGTGATGATGAGTGTACTCGTCTTAGCCCCCCCCCCACCTGCCATGTGGCTTTGCGGCTCCCTGCCACTGGGGAGTTGGACATTTTTACAACCCCCTCCTCCCCGCAAACTTTGTTCAGAAACCTTTACAAGAGGACATGCTTTTTTTTCTAAATTAATAAAGCTGCAGACGTTCAAGGTCACATTCTCAAAGGAACAAGAGGATTCCAGAACGGCGGGGTGTGAATTCCCAGTCAGAATAAGACCAGCTCATCGCGCGACTGATCATACGTCTTCGCTAATATGCAGCCATCGCGACCTTAATGTCATTCATCCGTTTCCTGCATCTCAGTAAAAGAGAACTGCACTCTGTGATTATTAGATGGTCATTTCCACTTCGTCTTTCTTTGCTGACAATCTACAGACACAATGTGACCGGTCCTGTCCATGACCCTATCCAGGATGAGAGATTATTGGATCGATGAAAGTATATTCTCTTGTACGCATTAATGTTTGCGTCTATTCCATCACCTCCCCAGCTCAGACGGAGTTCTGCTAAGTGACCGTTTCACGCACTTCTGCTGCTGGTAATTTTCCTGAAACATTTCAGGTTTGCGTCCTTTTCCCAAGGGTACAACAGCAGAACCCACCCCAAGAAGTGGACCCCAGCACACATGCTTAACCTCCCTGTTGGCTGTCGCCCCTGATACTTGTGTCACTCCGCCCCATTTCTAGGACAGGGGCAGCGGTGTTCAGTATATCCAGCACCAACCACTCCACCCCTCAGCTCAAATCCTTCCTAATTTGATGAGCTGTAAGGCAACCCCACATGCCCCCGCTATGAGGGGCACAGTGGGAGTCGGGGGGGTTTCTTTACCTGCTCCTGGTAGTCATGACAATGCCCCCACCCCCCACGCACCAGCGCAGGCATGACGGCAGTCCTGCTATTGTAGCCTGTGGCAGGTAAACCGAGATGGCACTAATAATTCATGGGCACATGGGGCATGGCATCTGACCGCTGAGCCATCGGGCTTTGCTGGCGGCCCCCTGTGAGGGGTCACTATCCTGCCGCGTCCATTTGCTGTAATTGACTTCCCCCCATCTCAGTTACCAACCCCAGTAACGCCGCTCATGTCACCTTCTTGCCGGCCAGCCGGCCACCACTGTCCCCCGACACGGTGGCTGTAGTACTCCCATACTCCTACGCCTCGGCTTTCCTGTTCCTCATGATGTCCCACCGGAGGAACGTCAGACTCAAGGCTAAATCTCAACCATCCCCTCCGAATGCTTTCTTCAGAGATAATACTCAAGGACAGCAGGTTCTGTTCTCATACAGCATCGCATACTCACTTCGGAGTACAGAAATATTTATTTAGCACTTATTCAACATTTAAAAATTGTTGACAGTTTCAATGTGTACAAATAAATGTTCAAACTTTAAATCTTTAGTTATGTCTGAATATACAAACTAGGTGTTTATAGGTGATGCATCGCATCTCTGTAATGTTTCTGAACAAAATCTAACATGTTAATCATTGTCTGTTTAAAGCTCATTTTAATCTTCATTCTTTTGAAAATGCATTTCTGGCATTTTGATGAAGTTGAGTCTTCTATAAATATTAGATATTGTGCTACTATTTAGACAAAATCTGTCATGTGGAAGCTGATGAATTTTCAAGCATGAAACACAGACACACAGATTACAAAACATTACACTGACCACTTTGGTTTTATTTAATGGTGAATTCCAACATCCTTATTGTACCGAATACCATTTCTTCTTTACCCATTCATTTAGCTGCCCAGGGAAAGACAATATATGGCCTGCATCTGACTTAATCCAGGGCCCCCAAAGAGGTTTAAAACACTCTTGTTTCATCTAATCTTCTCGCTCAGACCCAGCCAAGCTTGAAACCTCCCCTTTCCATGATAGGAATGGACAAATAAAGGTTTCTCATTCATGAAAGGACACTGTGTGCTCTATGGATTAGGGAACCAAGTTTTTTTCTCTTACTATAATAGCCTGAAAAGGATAAAAAATAAAGAGCTGTCTGTTTGTTCAGTGTAATACTTAGGAAGGGCTTCACTCGCTCTGCTGCTCATTTTCCTGCATTGGAACCTTGCTCGTGACAAGAAATACTGTTGTTGCTTTTATTATTATTTATCTTTCATCTAATGTTATGCATCTTATGCACGCAGCCCTAGTAAATGAAACTCCTAATGCTTCTGCAGTTGGGTTTGCCTAATAAACCGATGAACCATCTGAAACACTGAGCCATAAAATACACTTTTAACGGAACGTATTTAACGCCCACGCAGTATTTCGATGGTTAAACGCAGTTAAACTACGGCTAAATGATAAAATGTGGGTATCAGTTTAATGGAGTGCTTCATGTTTTGTTACAGTGCAGCGTATAAGGTGCTGCAATTCATTCATTAAAACGAAGTTGCCGCGGACAGGCACTTTGCGAACAGATATTCAAGCCCTATAATAGCTTATCACTCGTTCCCGTATATCGTTCGCAAATTTACCCCAATGTCAGCAATAACAGAGGATGTAACTGTTTCTAAAGCTTCAGTTATGAAATGGGTAAAGAGATGCGTTCTTTTCCGTCGGTAGATGTGAATATTCAGGCGCTTCGCTGGACACCTTGCGCCATGATTTTGGGTCCTTCACGTCCTCCCGTCGCAGGTTCGGTTTCCGGGCGCCGGTGCATGCGCGTCGGGTCCAGCTGCGCGGGCGTTGGGAGCTCTCACTTCTGCGGTGTTTACAGTGCGGCGCTGCGCGTCGTCGGTGGATCGGTTTGCTATCAGTAAAACATTCACGGCTCGGTGGGTCCTTATATATAGATTTATGTGGTTCTGCTCCCGCTGAGCGACCGGTCCGGGGGGAGGAATTAAAGCGAAGCCGCAGGGGTTTTTGAAGTGTGTACTACAAGGTTTTCATTCGTCTTTTCGGCTGTGAAACGTGTAGTTAAAGCGTCTGATTAAACCCCAGCTATTTAAAACGACGGAGACCATTAGGACCACTTTATCTGCGTGCTTCGTTTTGTTGTACCAGCTTAACTAATTATGATACAAACCACACTGCAGGAGAGCAGTTAAAATCAGGGGTGGCCCGAATGCTCATACTTAAAGTTTAATAACAGGGACACTAGAGAGGATGGGGATATATTGCTACGAAATGCTTATCATGTTTAAAAATCACCTTGTCGGCTCTGGTCTTGGACACCTAACACCTGCTGGGGGACTCTGTAAATGGTGCTCATAGATCTGGAAGAGAGGTCTGTGGGCCTCTCTGCTGCCGATCAGCTGTTGTGGCTCCCAACTCCATGTGCTCCACAAAGATGCCGCTCAGGCCTTATCTGCAGCCGGCCCCCGGTCAGCATTCATGCCGCCAATGGGGAACAATGCGTCCGCTTCCTCTGTCCGCGCTGTGAGTGATGGCGGGCGTCGCTGCGCCCGTGCTGCGCCTCGCCCGCCACGTCCCGCCGGCGTGTTTTTCCAGCCCGGGCTCCTGCCCTGCTGGGTGTGGAGCTGTCTGCGCTTCCTCCCTCGTTTGTTTAACTGTCCCCAATAATGGGCCCCGGCTCCATTCAGTAAATTTGTTTCCTCCCTAGGAGCGCTTGACTTTTTTGGGCTTGAGGGGGGAGTGGATTTCTCTGACTAACTGTCAAAAAAAAAAAAGTCAATAGTGAACCCCAGTGAATTGGACAGGCGCACCAAGACACTGAAGGAGGAAAAAAAAAAAAACCTGAGATAAGAATGTTTTCATTACGAGCTGAATGACTGACAGCTAAATATGATCTCATCCAGGCGGAGCTCCTGACAGGCGTCACGAAAGCACAGTGACCTCTGATGCCGCCTTCGGATGCATTATGCTGTGGGTGACAGGTGTGTCAGCCTGCACTAAAATACCATGCTCCACGTGCCTCTCTAGCTTGCGATCACCTACTACGTGCTTTCTCTCCCACTCATGTTGGCGTTCCTGCATGAAGAGACTCGCGTCTACGATGACTCGGGTACGAGGCGTCTCTGTTGAATACAAAGGGCGAGTCCACGGCACGACTCTGTCTTCTAAGTGGGGTTTTCATAAGAACCCTTTTGCGTCCTGACTGGGCTCCCGCTTATGAATGGGTAGCTGTGATAGAGGGCTGGACTCAGCGATGCCGCTGCCGATCACGGGACAGCGGCTCCACGGGGCCCATGATGGAATGCGGACGGCTTAGTCTCCTATCTTTGAAGGCTGCGTTAAATGGGCCGGCCGCCCCCTGCAACCAGTGGGCTGCAGATAGTGGCTCCGTTTGATCTGAAGGTCGCTGGCCCCTCGACGGCGTTGAGAGATACCTGGCCGTCGAAGCCGACCCTTATTTAATAACATGAAGGGGGAAGCCAGGTCTCTCTCTCATAATTAGGCCTAATTACTGCTGAGGTGTTGACAGACGGCCTAGAGGAGACAAACTGCCTTTATCCACTGACTTAGAGTCAGATTACTGGGATTGGCTTATCTGTTACTATGGGAACCTAAACCCCAATCTGCTCTCATCTCATCCCATTGGGACAAGCTGTTCTATAGGACTCTGGTATATATCTGGATCAGGCCTTCAGTGTAGGTGCTGTCTACCTAGTTCAATTCCTGTTTTTGTTTTGTGGTTGCAGTTATATTTGGTCTAATTCTGGTGAAGTGATTGAGCAGAAATGTGATGTTCGGATCAGTTGTCCTGTCGGTACCTGGGGAGTCTTTGTATTCAGCTGGTGGACAGGTGACCCCCATGACCTGACTCGGACCTTTCCGTCACCCTACCTGTTCCGGCTGCCCTGTTTGTGGCAGAGTCACGTGTGTAAGAAACACGAAGCATGACCAGAACTCACCGCTTACACGACTGCGGAGGAAGAGGGGGCGTTGAAGGTTCACCCGGGGTTTTTGGGCATGAGACCTGAGGAGAAGCGTGTCCTAGGTGCCATGGGGAGGAGGAGTAACCACTGGGACTATGACCGGGGGAGGGGTCACTGTGTCCCGTGACAGAAGAGGGTGGGCTCTTACCTTTTACTGACATCGCAACAGCAGCCTCAGGGAATGTGTTCACACCCCTCTGCTTACAGGTGCATGTTGAGCTGGCTGTGAGGGGCAGAGCAGGGGTCTTATGGCAAGTGTTATCCCCCTCTAGATGTCTCATTGGAGATAGCGTTTCAGCAAAAGGGGCAGCATGAAAGTGTTGAGGGCGGCATGGTGGTGCAGTGGTTAGCGCCGCTGCCTCACAGCAGGCAGGTCCCGGGCCCTTTCTGTTTGCATCCTCTCCCACTGTTCACGTGGGTTTTCGCCAGTTTCCTTCCACGGTCCAAAAACATGCAGGGCAGGTTGATTGGCAAGTTTGAATTGGCCAGGTACTTGTGTGTGTGTGTGTGTGTGTGTGTGTCTGTGCCCTGTGGTGTTTTGGCGACTTCCCAGGCTCTGGCCCCCCCTGCGACCCCAGTTGGTATTAAGCGGTTACGGTGATGGGTGGATTAAAGCATTGCCCCGATTCTGTTCGATTTGTGTTCAATCTGCACAACGGTAAGCAGTCTGTAATCCATTTTCTAACTGCTTAGCCCCAGTCAGGGTGGTGGGACCACAATATAGTGTAAAAAACAAATCGGGGTGTCTTTTTTTTTATGTAGCATTGCATTTATTGTGAGAATGCGCCCTTTAGCTGAGCTGTGACCGTCTCTGGCATGCAGATATGGAAAGGCGCCCTCTTGCTTCGGGCGGCTCAGTAATGGCAGAGAGGAGCCTGCCTGGCTGCCCCCTGTCAGAGGGGTTACGCTGAGGGACACGGCTGTGCCCGGCTCTTAATTAGGAGGGCTGCGCCGTCTCCGCTCCACGGGGCAGCACGGCCCATTTAACCACTAACCTCCTGAAATGAGTCGACCTGGGATGGTATGGGCTCAGGTTTCGCTGCGGGGAGGGGGGTTAATGTGGAATATAGGTAAGGAGAGCACTGGGGAGCAGAGCCCTGGAATGAGCCCTGCGGCTCTGCGGAGCCCTGTGCCGCGCTGCCCGCAGACTCCCCGGGTTCTCGTCGGGTCGCTTCCTCGTGCGTGGGATTCCTGGTGCGACCGAGCGTGCATGTCACCATGCTGCCATCCTCCCAAATTCTGCTGTTGATTTGAGAAAAACTGCATTTTAGAAGCTTCAGTCTCATTCTGTTTACAGTAATTAAACTGTCTGGCGGAATGATTTATGATGCATTGGGTAATCGCTCTTATTGTGTGTAGAAAAAGAAAGAGAAATATCAGTCCCTCTCTCTTTGCCCCAAGGCCTTGTTTATATTTATTGGGAATCTAGTTCCGGAGATATAAAGATAATTTTTATTACCATCACAGTACTACTAGACTGGAATTTGCGAACACCTTTAAGAAGGACACCAATGCTCTGACCTGGTTTGGCGATTTCCTGCCATTAAATCAGCACCTTTTTCAAACATGTTACTCTTTGTTCAGACGTTGGCTGATACCACAGCAAGTGAGCCTGATATTCTTGTGTCCGCTGCATTCTGCCCTACAGCCTGTGGGAAATGGTTTTATTTAATTAAGACTTAAATGTGGAGGGTGGGGCTGTGTCTGTAATGTGTTCTCTGCAGCCTGCATGTGTGCTGAACATGCCCCCGATGGACATTCTGTATCTTGGAACTGCAGTGAGCTATAGTTATGGGAATTGTTTTAGAGACTGCCTCTTGTGTTTGATTGGGCTTTCTTCTTGGTGCTGTTGGATGATGGAAGGCACCAGTGCTGCTGTGTCCTCCCAGTGATGGCCAGCCCTCCTCCGGATCCCCAGTTTGTCCTGCGGGGGTCAGGGGCCGCCGTCAACACTCTGCACTTCAGCTGCGGCACTTCTGACCCGCCCCTGCTCTTCTCTGGGTGAGTGAGAACGCCTGCCCCAGCCCTACAGAGTTCTGCTGGGTGCCTCGCACACGGATGCTGATGTGCTGTTGGCTTTTTCTGTTCAGTTCGGCCAAGGGCACCATTCACCAGTGGAACCTGACAACCCGGCGACCCGAGAGAACTCTAGATGGTCACTCTGGGGCGTCGGTCATCTGGCTCAAGACTTTGGGGTCTAGAGAGACCCTCATAAGGTATTTACTGAACACTGTGTACCCCAGAGTGATGCTTATAACGTAATTACTGAACGCAGTGTACCACAGAGAGATGTTCATAAGTTAATTAGTGAACACTGTACCCCAGAGAGATGCTTATGAGGTAATTACTGAACACTGTGTAACCCAGAGAAACTTGTACGGTAATTACTGAACACTGTGTAGCCCAGAGGGATATTTGTACAGTAACTACTGAACACTGTAGCCCAAAGAGATATTCATAAGGTAATTACTGAGCACTGTGTAGCCCAGAGAGGTGCTCATAGGATAATTACTGAACACTATGGGCTACTGATAGACCTTCTTAAAGTAATGACTGAACACTCTCCTCCGGTTCTGATTCACGTTGTACAGATTAGATTTGTACGCTTGAGGATGGTTTCCAAGATGTCCTGTCTTTCATCACGTCTTTGATCTTTGATGTCTGCGATTCCTGCAGTGATGTTCAGTGGAGTTTTACTCCCAGGGCAGAACTTGAGGGAGCAGAGAAAATGTTGAGAAACGTATTTGCTTTCTGTTAATAACCTAGTGAACGTTTAGCCTATAACTTTAGCGAGGATTAGAAGCTTGAAATGCCCTCCACTTTAGTACTGTCAAAGCAGACAGAAGGGTCATTGAATGAGTCCTCTAGGAGGTCTGGTGGTCAGCACCCCTAGTTTCCTGTCATTCTGAGGGGCCCGAATTAATCTGGCTTGGGTGGTAAATGGAGCTGTGACGTACTGGACCTGCTTGCACAGTGGCTCTCCATCATCAGGGACAGAAACGGCCCTCTGTATGTGTGTGTGTGTGTGTGTGATGCAGCCAGGGCCGCGACTCGCGCGTGTGTACCTGGGACTTGGCGGAGGGCCGCAGCGCCGTGACAGACTCCATCCGCACCGGCAGCGTGGGCTTCTGCCAGTGCTCCCTGCTGGAGACGGGACTCTGCAGCCGGCTGCTAGCACACCCTGTGGAGACCATGGACGAGGTGAGACACGCGGTGACAGTGGCTTTTTTTTGATGCCGCTCGGTCCGGCGAACCTGACAGCGGCGGGTCCTGGAGACTAGGACTGCAGCGATTCATCGAGGAGCTCGAATAACTCGATTACGAAAAGTCCTCGATGCAAATCATTTGCCTCGATGCTTCGTTTAAGCCATACGACTATGTACTGCTCAGTCATCACCGTGATTCATACGGAGGATTATTACTGTCGCGCAGTTTGCTTACGCTGCATTACGTGTAGCAGAGTGGTGAAAAACCAGTGTGACGACACTCTGATAGGGACCCATTGTAAAAAAATGGCAGAGAAATTTCCAGCAAACTTCCGGGTCACGGGGACGGCGAGTAGTTCCAAACGTTGACAAACACGGCATAGAATCATGTTCATTCCGTTGCTTGCCAAGTACTTTAAGCGGTACGTTGATAAAATAAGAGATTCAAAAAAGAAACATTTAACAATGAATGTTTTGTTTTTATATGTGCTCAGCATTAGCTGTTAATGTTTATCATTATTAACAGTTATGATGGTAGCTTAGTAGCGATGGAGGCTAACGTTCCCATTTCACTGATGATTTGTCATTTTCTATAGACACAGGGTAACATTACAAAGCTGTCCAGGTTATCAACGGCTTCATGATTAGTTAGCTGCACTGTTACCATGTTAATACACCTCATTAAAATACCAGTTTGCAGTTCTCCCCGGGTCACATGATTCAGTGTGAATTCACTAAAAAAATTATGGTAAAATAGCTTAAATTATTTTGGGTTATTTATATACTAAAACAAAATACTGCATTGTGGTAATAGTTTCTGTATTTTTACATGCGCTTTGTAAACAGCGCTTGAACAAAAAGTGCTTTTTTCCACATTATTTTGTCTCCCTCATGTTGAATTACTTAGAATATCCATCCTTTTTACAAACCGCTTATACTTCTGGGTCGCGGGGGGTCCAGAGCCTATCCCGGAAGTTACGGGTATGATGCGGGGAACAACCCAGGATGGGGGGCCAGCCCATTGCAGGGCACACTCACACACCATTCACTCACACACCATTCACTCACACACCATTCACTCACACACCATTCACTCACATCTATGGGCAATTTTGTAACTCCAATTAGCCTCAGCATGTCTTTGGACTGTGGGGGGAACTCAGAGTACCCGGAGGAAACCCCACAATGACACGGGGAGAACATGCAAACTCCACACACATGGAACCCAGGCGGAGATTCAAACCCGGGTCCCACAGGTTGCCGGTGGACCAGTGCTTGAGATGTAAAAAGTAAAATTTGTTTAAAAACTGTTCTTAGTTCTCGGGGTAGATGTATTCAGTAAAAGTCTGCACAGTTACGGTTATTTGTGGCTTGACTTTTAAATACAGCCTATATGTGCTGGGTCACTGAAGATCCGAGGTATGTAATAAGTGTTTCCTGACAGTCCCATGTACACAAGCATTAAGAAAGAGTTTTCTTTAAGAAGAACTAATATGTACATAAATGCACTAAAGGGTTTAGTTGTTTTGACAGATACTGCATGCAGTTTAACCATTAAAATGTTTCTAAAAAGGAAACCAATGAGTTGTTCATCTTAAGAGACCTGTCTTTCTCTTTTGAAAAGTCACTATTGCTCTTTAATAAGACAAGTATTTCTTATCCGATTACTTGATTAATGGATGGAATAATCGCTAGAATACTCCATTACTAAGATAATCAATAGCTGCTGCCCTACTGGTGGCACCGACATGATGAGGGTGCAACTGAAGAGCCGTGGCCCCCCCTCCCGAATGTCACGCCACAGCAGGTTCAGGTCGCCCTTAAACAGCAGCGCGGGGGGGGGTTGGCGCGCCTCCCGGGCATCTCTGAGTGCTGCATTGCATGCCTTCGATTGGCTAGGCCTGGAGGCAACCGCAACTCCATCAACTTCCTCCCCGTCTGTCAGTAACCGGTTTGATGTTTACCCAGCACAGCCCCACATGAAGCTTTAATTAACGGAGCCTTTTTAATTTACCGGGTCCCGCACCACACAGGCACCCGTTTCCCTGGCAGCAGCGGGTACTCAGCCCCAGATGGGGTCCGCAGGTCTGGTCATCCCTTGAGTTTTTTGTGGCATCAAAAGATTGAAATGGCGTGATGAGTTTGGTTCTGTACTGATGATGTCATCCTAATGATAGCTGTAATGCTTTTATGAAAAGGAAAACATTTATTTTATTATTGTCTTTTACACTTGAGGAAACCTGCAGGCCACCGCAGGAAGGAGTCAAGTCGTAACGTGTCGTCCGTTTGCCCTGTATTCTGGGGAGCCAATAAAAATACACGTAGGATGAGCCCAAACCCACTGGTGATATTTGTATGGGAGGGATCCCCGCTGTCAGCACACACCCTGCCTGCACCCTCACCTCACCCTTCTGTATCCCAGGTGAAGGTCATCGACTTCCCCAGCGGGACGGCGGTTTGCTCCCTGAAGCCGGATGCCAGGCTGGGGATGGTGATGTGTACCAAGCTGTGGCAGGTAAGGCCCCACCCCTCCTGGGGCCCGTCCCGCTCGGGAAGAGCCTGCCAGGCCGTCTCCGTTCTCCCTCCTCATCTTCACACGTTCGTCCTCCTTTCGTCGGCTGGCAGGGAGCTGCCTGATCCAAACCGGATGCGTGCAGGAGACGTGGCGTGTGATTTATGGTCCGACCTGTCTCCGACCGCTTTGTGAAGCCTGTGCCAGTCCCAGCACTGTAATTAGCCTGTTTGGAGAGACTGAAGCACCAAAATGGGCTGCACCCACGGAGACTTTTCAGTTTGAGCTGCCGTACGTCTGTAATTAGTATCATGGCTAGTTAAAGTGCTATTTCAGTTATTTTTTAATAACCGAGGTGTGAATGCTGCCTGGTCAGCTGACCGCCTGGTGTTGTCGTGTGTCCCGGGTGGCCTCTGCACGATGAGATGAATCGCGGATAGTGTCTGCGGAGGCCGTCTGGGATGAGAGGCTCATATTGCGTACTCCACAGCGAACCCGGCGCGTGAAAGCATGTGCGTGACGGCAGGGCGCCGGGCTTTCATCCTGCCGCCGCGGTAATCCGTAAATGTCACCGGTCTCTCTGCAGCCCCGCCGACACGCCGCACCACACGGCAGCGGGGATCCGTCATGCCCGACGCGGGCCGAGAGCCCACACACACGCGCGTGGGATAGGCCCCGTCCGGGCGTCTAGCGTCTCCCCCCTCCCCCGAGTCACCGTCCTATGCCTGAAGAGGCTCTTCGGTATGTAGAGGGAGAGGAGGAGCAGGAGGAGCGGAAGCCGTGGCGCGAAGCCGCCTCGGCCTCCCGGGCCAGCAGAGACACTCCATCATCTTGGCATCGGCCCACAGCAGATTTATGGCAGGAATTAAGGAGCTCGCCGCTGGACCTTTGGAAGGGATTAGAGGTGTTTTAAGTGTGGCCTCCTCCTGGCCTGAGCTGTGGTCTCCATATGTGGGCCGTGGTCTCGGGCTGGTGGTGATATACGACGGGGGGGGGGGGGGGTATACCCGTGCGAGGCCCTGTCACTCTGACACCTGATGATGTCGTCACTGCCTGGGGCCTGGCATAAGGGCCGCTCCGCCATGATGTGTCTGAGGTGTGATTCAGCCCCCCACCGATGTGAAGCGCCAGGCTCACCCTCAGCACTGTGAGGCGGACAGCGGGCGCACCCCCGGCCTGTGGCCTGCTTCGGGCTGCGACGCGCTCCTTCTCCCCCAGCCGTGATCCGGTGAGACGTGCTGGTGCAGAGGAGCGCTGGAGGATAAAATGAATTAGGTGTCTGCCCAGGGTTCTGTGACCTTTGCCCCGTGACATCATCAATCAGAGCGCTCCTACACTTAGCTGAAGTGTGGGGGTGGGGGCAAGCACACGGTAATGCTTAAGCGCCCGCTGGGGGGGCACTGACTCACATTTACTTTCATTTGTTTTTTTTTTTGACCTCTTAATATCATCGTTAGTGATTTTGTTTATGAGGCACAGATCCTGCCTGTAATTTGTTCGCTGGACATAAAGCGAAATGGGTCGCAGATGCTGGGCGGGCCGATGAGGCCCACATGTGCGGCGGGGGGGGTCTGCTATGCGTGGACAAGGTACCACAGGCCGGGGGCAGCCAGCGGGAAGGTAGGGGGGCTTTTGGACCAGGGAGTCAGGGCCACTGGAGCAAGGTGCTTTT